CCGTTTGCAACAGCTTTACGGTTTGAGGGCAAATCGTTTTCAAGATGTGGCTCTCGCCTTAGCGCCGCGCACATTCGTTTAAAACATCTGCAAAGGTTTCACGGATTGAGGGCGGGTCGTTTTCAAAATGTGGTTCTCGCCTTAGCGCCGCGCACATTCGTTTCAAACATTTGCACGAGATTCACGGGTTTTGGGTGGGTCGTTTTCAAATGTGGCACTTGCCTTAGCGCCACGCACATTCGTTTCAAACAGTTGCTAGATATTCGCTGATTCAAAGCGGTTCGTTTGCAACATGTGGCTGCCGCCTTAGCGCCGTGCACATTCGCTTCAAATATTCGAGAGAGCGTGATCCACCGCCGCTTTACTGTGGAAAATTGTCAACCTTTTCCTCCGGAACCCGGGGGTCGCCCCCCGCCCCCCCCTCCGAAAATCCCCCCCCCCTGCTGGAACCCCTCCCCCCCCCCCCCCCCCTCCCCCGGCAAACCCCCCCCCCCCCCCTAACCCCTCCCCCTCCCCCCCCCCCTCCCGCTCGAAAACCGGGGGGGTCACTACCGGTTCGAACCCCTCCCACCCCCCCCCCCCCCCTCCGGATCCGGAAAACCGGGGGGGGTCACTACGGGTTCGAACCCCTCCCCCCCCCCCCCTCAAAACCGGGGGGGGTCACTACCGGTTCAAACCCCCCCCCCCCCCCCCCCCCCCCCTACTCACCGCCAGCAAACGACTCCCGGTCCCCACCACCGTCCGCATCACATCCCCCACTGGTGTTCCCAGCACCACTGTCCTCACCACCACTGTCCCCACTGGTTCCACCACCGCCCCTACTGTCCCCACCAGTGCCCCCACCACTGTCGCACTGTCCCCGCTGTCCCCAGAACTGTTCCCACCACGGTTCCACTCTCCCCACTGTCTCCACGGCCCCAACCACTGCCCGACTATCCCCACTGTCCCCACTGTCCCACTGACTCCTCCGCTGTCCCACTGAGCTGTCCCACTGTTCCCACCACTGTCCCCACTGTCCCCTCCACTGTCCCCACTGTACCTCTGTCCCATTGTCCCACCGCCGTCCTCGCCACCGCCTTCACCACTGTCCCCACCACCATTGTACCCTCCACTGTCCCACTGTTTCCACCTCATTCCCATTGTCCCCACACCACTGTCCCCACCACCACCGTCACCACCACTGTCCACTGTCCCCCCTGTTCCCACCATTGTCCCCACCACTGTCCCCGCCACTACCGTCCCCACCACTGTCCCACTGTCCCACTGTCCCCACCACTGTCCCGCTATCCCCTCACCACTGTCCCCACCAACACCGTCCCCACCACTGTCCGCACCCCCACTCGGTTTTCGAGGGGGGGGGGGGGGGGGGGGGGGGGGGGGGTTCGAACCGGTAGTGACCCCCCCCCTTTTCATGATGAACGGGGGGGGGGGGAGGGGTTCGAACCGGTAGTGACCCCCCCGGTTTTCCAGAGGGGGGGGGGGGGGGGGGGTTCGAACCGGTAGTGACCCCCCCCGGTTTTCCGCCAGCAGCGGTAGAACACGCTCTTTCAAATATTCGCAAGAGTTTACTGGATTGAGAGCGGGTCGTTTTCAAAATGTCGCCTTAGCGCCGCGAACATCAAGAGTTTCACATATTGAGGGCGGTTCCTAATCAGAATGTGAGTCTCGCTTAAGCGCCGCGCACATTCGCTTCAATCATGTGCAAGAGTTTCACTGGTTCTCATGGTCATCGTACCAGAAGTGGTATTTTGGAGCGAGTCAAGATTGTCAGGGCGCACCAGTTACGTTGATTCGCAGTGTTGAAGTCACGACTCAAGAACGCCAGGACGTAACAGTCAGGTTAACTCGTGGCGTTGAACTCCTGAGAACTGTGTTTTGGCACGCATTAAGATGTTCACACGGTTGTCTCCCAACGGGGAAATTCCTTCAGTAGAAATGACCCCTTGTAGGGGCCTATGAAGAGGGATCTTGGAGGAAGGGTGTATTTCAACATCGGAGTCTTGGGATTACACTGGTTCATCATCCTCGTACCTCGTCCCTCCTCCCTCCTGCCTCCCCTCCCACCTCCCCCCTCCCCCTCCTCCTCCTCCTCCTCCTCTTCCTCCTCCTCCTCCTCCTCCTCCTCCTCCTGCATCATCATCATCATCATCAATCATCATCATCATCATCATCATCATCATCATCATCATCATCATCATCATCATCATCCATCATCATCATCATCATCATCATCATCATCACATCATCATATCATCATCATCATCATCATCATCATCATCATCATCATCATCATCATCATCATCATCATCATCATCATCATCATCATCATCATCATCATCATTCATCACATCATCATCATCATCATCATCATCAGCATCAGCATCAGCATCAGCATCAGCATCATCATCATCATCATCATCATCGTCATCATCAGCATCACCATCATCATCATCACATCACCATCACCATCACATCACCATCATCATCATCATCATCATCATCATCATCATCATCATCATCATCATCATCATCATCATCATCATCATCATCATCATCATCATCATCATCATCATCATCATCATCATCATCATCATCATGATCATCAGCCTCTTCCTCCTGCGCTGCTGCTGATCCCCAACGGACGGCTCTGGACGAACGGCCGACGAGCCGGCAGCCTCCAGGGGGGAAGGCCCGACGGCGGCCGAGGCGGTCCCCCCTTCCCCCCTCGGCCCGGCGCCGCGGCCTTCCGCGGCCACGGGCGGCGCGCCGACCCGGGCGCGAGCGCGGAGGGCGGCGGCCGCCGAGCCGCGCGGCGGGGGCG